CTATCATGTTTATGCATTACAAAACATGTACAGTATCATGATATTGCAGCAACAGAGTGGCAATCTACATTCTGTTCTATTTCAGAAATTGAGACGGAAGTTCTATGCATTTCATTATCATCTCTTTGCCTCACAAATGAAACCTCAGTTAGCTGCCGAGTTAATGGAGATATACACAATGCACTTCCCGTTCATCCAAATCCCACTATGTAATGCACATGTGGATATCTTGAATATATGCTTGATTGTCTTATATATTTTTTTAACTATATGATGGTATTTATGAATATATGTATTTTTGTTAAGTCAATACAATACAATAGTTACCATCAAATACAAGGCTGTGCATGTGTAGGGCTAAGACAGAGGTTGGTTTTAGGACGATGTGGTTACACAGCATGGGACACGTCTGAATTTCTGAGGTTATATTATTGGAGAGATATGGACAGTGGAATCAGGATAATCTGTCTTGTGATCAGATATTCAGGAGAATCTATCATCCATGGTTTTGCTTATGTTAATTTTTCAGACCATCTGAGCCAAATGAAGGAGAAAAAACTGTTTAAAAGTATTTGAATTGCATGCGTAGTTAAAGCTCCCTTTGGTACATATGGTGATCCTTTCCACTGTACCCCACCTTCAACATTTTGAGTTAAATGCCACATGATTGTTGGCCTAACATTCTAAAGGCAAAACAACTTAATGTCAAAGGTTTTTTGTAGAGCTAGTGTTTTTTAACTTAAAAGATGGCAATGTTTGAGTTTAGTATGCTGAAACAAGTGTCATATTTTCATTTGGTTTGATATTACACCTCATTTGACTCTCATTTTCACAGGCGTGCCTGAAAGATGAATGAGGAGTATTAACAGAAAAGTGACCAGTGTCCGACTGCCATTGCTTATGAAAAGCAATGACAGCATTAATAGATGTTTGCGAATCCAGAGGAATTCTAAAACTATTCACCTTATTCTAAATAAAACATCATTTAAATTGCAGTATTTATAATGTTTTCTTCTACAATATTCCATTCATAATCCTGTATTTTGCCCAAGATTAATGACTCATGCCCAAGTTACATACATTTATTCCAGTGCAATATTTATGCTCCTCCAAAGCCTTAATTCCATTTCCCTCAAAACATAGAGTATTGCTCTGGCCTCGCCCTCACCCTGGCAATCTGTCTTATCATAACAGCCTTGATTAGCACAGCCTGCTGCTGGAGTCAGTGTTGGGGGTATTTAATACTGGCAACTGCGCTTGGTCAAAAGTTGATTACATGTAAAGGGGACACAGAATTTATCTGGTTATGGTGTCCAGCAACGTTGTATGCACATATTTGCCCACTGCAATTTTATTATCTTGATGCTGTAAAAAAGCCTTTTTTAAATTTATTTTTCTAGATGTTTACATCTACGTGTAATGAATGAATGGAAAGATTATAGAAGTATGAGCTTGAGAGCTAATGGATGAAAGCTCAAGATGTATAGAAAACGTATCCTGTAAATAGTGATAATAATTAAGTTAATGTAAAAGTTTGGCAAATACAGGAAGATTTAATGCTGATCTTTAGACTTCAGGGACTATGTCTTGTATGTTGCATGCCAGTTTGTCATGAAAGTGCTTGGCTTTGATGTTTTGTGGTTTGTTTCTTGGGCTGGGCAGGCTCCAGGCATCTTTGGGTGGAGTCTGGCTAGCTCCGGCTCCGGCATCTGTGACTTATCAACACTTGTTGAGAGTTGAGACTCCTTCAAAAGGATAAGCAGGAGCTACCAGTTTCACCAGTTTGTCCAATCATTACCTGCTGGTCATCAGACGAAATCCTGCCTCACAGTGTGTTTTACCATTTGTGAATTTTTGTGTATTCCTCACCATTTTCAGGTGGTTTGACTTAGACTCTCGCCGTCCATCTATGTCATCTGTCCTGGGGAAACAATCCCTGGATACCAACTGTCACACTCCTTTTGTACTGTCTACAACCTGGATACTGTAGATACATTTGGATGCGGATACATTTGAGTCCTTTCAGTGTATTGACTCAGCTGTGTCAGGACATAGCCTACTCTAAACAATTTGAGAAGATTAACAGAGTTAGAGACTATACGTACCAGTTGAGTTTTAACGTGTGATATGCGAACTACATGCCAACAATATTAGTTCTTTAACTTTAGGTAAGCCACTAAATACTCTGGCCTGCAATGGCAACTGAGGATTCAGATGACACCAACACGAAAAACCTACCTCATAGAATAATGCTCAAATTAAATCTACATCTTCCAAAAGATTTGTGTTTCATGATCAGTTCTGAGGACAGAAATCAGAGAAACAAAACATTTGTCTTGTGAAACCAGGAAAAGGGACAGAGGGGAGGATGAAATTAAACTATCGAAAAACCTAAGTAAAAAATACTGTCATAAATGATTCAGAATTATTCATGAATTATACCAACATGTTACGGTAATCATTTTTTATTTCAAACTCTGATCTGCTTCATAAAGACATGCTGTTTTGTCAAGAGAGTGAAAAAGGAACTTTATTATCTATCCAAAAGTTCTCATATTATAACAGAATTGGTGGGGAACTCTGACAAATTACAGCTTTGGATGAAGGTTTACTGACTATGATTATGTTCCAATAGGCTTTTTCAATGAGAATATGTTACTGGAAGCACATTAAATAGTTTGATTATTTGAAATATAAATCTGATCTCTTTGTTACATTATTTTACACACAAAACATTCTGATGTGACACACATTTAAAATGTTCAGGCTCAGCAGTTGCAGTTTCAGTAATGTTACAGCTTTTACTGGTCAGCAGGCGAGACGCTAGTGCCACGTGGTGTTCATGTTCCTATTGTAGTACCTAATCAAAAGGCACCATGGGAAGTTAACAAGTCTTCACAGCTTTCCTAGATAAAAACTGGATCAAAGACATCTTCCTATAGAAAAGCAGCTGTGCTTCCACCATGCCTCCCTGATGCATTTGATAATTTTGACGACCACTACTAATGGGATAGAGATAACGGGTGTTCAATGATGTGGAAAGTTACCAGTCAAGCACTGTCAAACTTTGATTTTTTGTACTATTAATTGAAACTTGCTCTGCTTTCCCAGATGTTCAGCTCAAACAGCACCTCAAAGTAAAGTACTGCAGCAATTTGACCATCACACTGAAGGTGCCCCATGCAGTAAAGATAAAATCTAGTCATGACCGTGTCCTGACACACTAACCGATCGTAGTTTATCAGAGTTCCATGTCGAGGCACCCATTGTATGGGAGGTTTAACACCGTTATCTGCCTATCACACCTTGAAAACCAGAACAACCCGAAGTTAAAATCCAACAAGACTGAACTAAATCTACAAGCTTTGAAAGGAAACTATTCCACAGATAAATGAGACATGCTCTACTCCAGGTTTCCCACCAGGGTTTCATCTTTGTGTACTTTTCTAACATTTTCTAACATTTTCAGTGTTTCCCTGTTTTTGCTGCGATAGTTTCAGTTTGCTAAAGCTTAAACTGAAATTCTAACTCTACATTACTCCCACTTTAAGCATTAACTTTGGAGTACTTCTGGCCAGCAGATATTTTACATTGCTACTACACACACATGCTGCATTATCAAATGGTTGTTAGTTCCTTCAGAGTGATGTGGTTTTCTTTACTACCATCCAAGCAAAGACATCTTAACCATTTTAAATAGCACATATAATTTGCCAAAGTGTTAATTTAATAAATCAGCCACAAATGATCATTTAACACCTGTTCACAGACAAAAATTGCTTGTAGTAAGAGAAGAAAAACAATGTAAAACTAAATGGCAGCTCTAGGATGAACCCACAGTGAAGTACATGCAGATCTGGGAATAATAAATCTAGTTGAAAAATATTATAATAATTCGCTTCTTGATGTCTTTTCTGTTAGAGCGATTATTCAATATTCAACACCCGTGGGTGAAATCCTAAAAGACAGGAAATTTTGACAGCCGCTTGCATAAGGTGTCAGAGCGGTTTCTGCAACAGCAACAACATATTTTTGAAGCTCCATTAAGAGAAGACCAGAAAAAAATGAAGGCTCCACAAAAGGCTGACATAACAGCCATATAACAAACGATATGGTGGATGCTGTTATGCAACATGGATAAAGTCTGTAGAGTAGCGCTATACACGTCACTGTGTGTCTGCACACCCAGAAGCTGGAGGACATTAGCCTTTGTACCTGGCAGGCAAAAGCACAGAGTTTTGGTTCACTGTAAGCACTGCAAGAAAATGATCATCTAAAAAGTTTGTACTTTTTTATAAGACTAAACATGTACATTCATTTAAGGCAGTCCATGCATCCATGATTATTTGTATGAATCTTTTCAATGAGAAAAATGTAACTGAATTAGGTCAATCATACTTCAAATTATTCAAGGTATCACAAGTGATAACTACATAACTACAGTAGCTCTGTCTAACAGTTATCGAACACCAATTTCTTAAATTTGCTCTCCATCGCTGATATATCACACATGACAAGTGGCGTGCCAAACAGGGAAAAAAGATCATGAGCCCAAAAAATTGAAGGCTATGATACAGATTTCATTTGCTCAATCATTTTGGTGACAGCATTCATTGGCAACCATAATTATAAAAGAGATGTGCAATCTGAATCCAGTAGAGTTCCTTTGTCCTTCAGTGAATGTTCTGTTATTAATTACTGCTTTATTTAGTTAAATGAACAGGCTGTCACTGCACATATTCCTTTTATTGTTATAGAATAACAAAAGCTCCTAACAGTGTCACTCTTTTACAAAAAAAAACCAATTTAAATGAAAAACCCCACAGACTTCAGTAAAGGGATTGAAGATAAGCTTGCTTTTTTCCACACATGAACTGAAAATAAGGCCTAGTTTCACCAACTTACTAGCAACAAAAGATAGCTCCACCACACATTTACATTAAAACACAGGCAGAAGTTGTTGTTTTAGACTGAGAGGAGCGCACAAGGAGGCATCTGGTATGAACCTGCGGCTACAGTGGAGCTCCTCATCAGCAGGTGCTGTGAGACTGGAGGTGGGAATGGCCTCCAGTAAGCGCACAGCTTGGTATGTAAGTGTGTGTTAGAGAGTGATGAATCACCACTTGTGAACTGCCTTAACCACTAAAAAGCAAGAGGGTGCACAGAGAGAACGTAGCAGCTTGGACCCCCATCTTGTAACCACATGTATTTTTCAACTAGCCTGGAATTGGATCCTGCCAGAAATGTGTCGTGTGTGTGTGTGTGCTTCTCTGAACCGTCATGCTGGTTAGAGAAAAGAAAGGGAGGAAAATAGAAGAGGAGCAAGAGGAAGGAGAGGAAAACAATTAAAAAAGGTTTTGTATGTGATGGGCTCTGTAGGAGGGCTGTATACAAGAGCCTGAAACTGCATTCAGGAGATTCACTTAAGCCATTCATGTAATTAAATAACACTAAGCTGAACACTCAGATTGACACAAGCTGCAATAGAAAACAAGCAACTCTAAACTGAATCAAAAGAATGTTTAACACATGTTGCAAAGCAAAAAGAATGATCTTTCCAGGATCCCTCAGAGGATGCTCAGAAAAGCAGTATGGCAACTGTTGAATTCACTAGTATTTGCACAAAGAAACCTGACCCACTTTGAGCCAAACAAAAATGAACTATCATGTGAAGGGATTTGAAGCATGTGACCGCTGTGCACAACCTGTTTGAACAACGGAGCCGGAGCTTATCGTTCTGAGGTTTAAGACAGTACCACAGCGCAAATAAAGCTGAGGAGTGTGCCAGTTTAGTATGATTCCTACAGGAAAAAGGTGGATCATAAGAAAAGAAGGAGAGGCAGTTTAAAATTGCAGTTTTTAAGATCATTATCGCCAACAATTCTGTCTTTTTTTTTTTTTTTAAAACAATGCAAAAACAGCAAGGTTTAGATTTGACATTCTCAAGCATTATTTACCATCACTTTAACATTTACTTCAAGAGGTTAGAGAAAAAAAAATATTTTGCTCTCGGTAGGAAGAGAAGTTTCTGGCCGAAGTGAAAACCTTTTAATTCCCCAATACATTTTTCATGTGGGCATTGGTCGTTTTCTGTCCTCAGCTACACAAGAAAAGCGTACTCATACGCGTATGCTAAATCAAACTGGCATTTAAACAGAGATGATTATATAGCGATAAGGTTGATGTAAACCAGTCAAGAGGTAGCACGGTAGCTCCAACAGAAATCAATGACTCATAGAAACACTGAAACAGGCTTGAAATCATACATTTACACTTACACTGGATTTTGTTACTAGAAAGCACAGATTAAATTAAATGAACGCAATGTGTGTAAAATGTGCGTCACAAAATTGTAATATTTGAAAAAATGCCTCTTATAGGATGACCCACAATGACCTTTATTTAACCTTAACCTCTCATCTGCAAGTGGCAGATGAGAGGTTAACAGCAAGTAAAACACGGCCAACCAAATCTATAATGATAATTAATGGGGTTGTGTCGAATCTTTCCCTCCAACTGCGACAGAGAAAAAACAAACTGTGGCAGTTTTAAGAGAAAACGATCACTTAAGTTATTCAGTTACAGAGGTACCGGGGTTTCATCAGCTGTTGAGAGCATTGGGGCTGCATTATATGCTCATATTCTATCATACACCTCACAGAAACAGCTCTACCTGCACTCTAAGGCCAAAGGTTTAACTACGAGATGTTTGGTGAGCAGCAGTTTTTATCAGTTTTTAAGGTGCACTGTACAAAAGTACTTGCTCATCCCTCCAAACAACCCAAATCAGATGTTCCAATCACTTCCACTGAGTTTGAGTGTGGTACTATGATTTTTTTTTTTAAAGCTTAAATTTCCTTGCTTTTAAATATTCCAAAGTCAACTGTCAGTGGCATCATGACATTGGGAATGACAGGAACCCAGCCAGAGTAGGAGCAACGGATGCTAAGGTGCAGAGTGCGCAGATGCACAGATACACCACCAGTGTATGGCCTTCCAAATGAGTTTCTGGAAGAATGATTCAAAATTCCCATAAACACACTCCAAAACCTTGTGGACAGCCTTCCCCTAAGAGTTGAAGCTGTTATAGCTGCAAAGCGTTTGTCACTTTAATTTATATGAGAGAAAAGCCAGGTAAGGCTATACTCTTGACAAAGTAGTGTATGTCAAAGTGTGTAACGTTTGATTTTATGCATGGTCACCATGTGTGGTTATACAGTAATATGAGATTTGCATTTAGCAGACGCTTTTATCCAAAGCGACTTACCAAGTGGACACAATGTTACAGTTATCATCAATCTGACAATAAGCTCTGTAGAGGAAAATCCCTAGTCAGAGTCAGTGGTGACAGCTTAGAGATAGAGGGAAGTGCAGAAAGAGTATAAGGGGGGTATAGAGGTATGGGTAAGGGCTAGGATAAGAGAGGCTCTTTGAAGAGGTTGGTCTTAAAGAGTTTCCTGAAGATAGACAGTGACGCTGCAGCTCCTGTAGCGCTTGGTAGGTCATTCCACCATCTTGGAACAACACATGAAAACAGTTGGGATTGTCTTAAGCGTGGTGTCGGCACTGCTGGACGACAATCAATTGATGACTGGAGTGACCGAGTAGTGACATAAGCCTTTGCAAGAGGATTCAAGTAGATGGGAGCCGTACCGTAAGCACTTTATAGGCTAGCATCAGGGACTTGAATTTGATGCGGGCAGAGAAGAACCAGAGAAGCTCAATGAAAAGAGTGGTGACAGGAGACTTTTTGGGCTGATTGAAGACCATGCGCGCCGCAGTGTTATGGATCATTTGTAAAGGTTTTACCTACAGGCTGGGAGACCAGTCGTGAGTGCGTTGCAATAGTCAAGGCGGGAGATAACCAGAGACTGCACCAGGAGCAGGGTAATATTGTTGGCCGGATCGTTCTTATGTTTACAGTACCATACCAATGGAGAATGTGGAAACTTGTTTTGCTCTTTAGTTGCTTCTGCGGTTGTGGGAGATAACACCACTAGTAAACAAACAAGCCTCCACATGAACATTACAAATATAGTCATACCCAGTGATGCTATCAGAAGCTGAGTGGCCCCACCATCGAGGAAATTGCTCTGGTCATGCTAAAGGTTTCTTTCATCTTCTTGAACATGAACTGAGCTTTGTTTGTGAAAATGCAGATTTCTGTAGCCAAGCCGTGACCTGAAATATATTACTGCCGGAAGGACTTTTGATAATAACATTGTTTTACATCTGTTGTGACACGATACCATGGCAACATGAAATACTTAAACAGTTACTTGACTGTTAGCTTACTGTTGGCTAATTTTAATTGATTAAATAGCTAAGTAAAGATTAACTAATGCCTGGCAGAAGACCTTCGAATAAAGATGAGTTGCAAGGGAGAAAGCTTGAACGAAGGACAGAAAAGAAGGACAATGTGAAAGAAGTTTAAACTATTAATGTCCTTGGTCATTATGAAGGTGTGCTATTGTTGGCAGATGGAATAGAGAGGCTTTTTGAGTCCTGGGGAAGACACAGCAGGAACGGAGAGAAATATTATTTTTTCATCGATGCAGGGTTGAAACAACTCTGGCATCTCTCTGCTCAGCTTTGCGGCTGTTCGGGCAGATGGAGGCTGCAGACTGTCAGTGAAGGAAGGGAATTGCAGACGCTGTGGTTCTGGACATGTCACTGAGAAGGGCAAGACCTCTGGTCCTCGACTGTTGAACTGTGGGACTCATACCCACCCTGTTCTGCTGAGGAAGTTCCCCTGTGTTAACTACTAACTATTTCTGCATGTGCACTTATCCAGGTTTGTTGCCAATCCATAAAAAACATAATCCAAGACAACCTAGCACAATCCCTACTGTTATCCATAGCAATGAAATAGCTTTAATAATTATCAATATAGCAGTAATCTAATTTTTCCTTCTGGGATTAATAAAACTGATAGAATTTAATTTAAATTGAACTGGCAAGCCCAAAACAAAGTCAAGTGATATAAAGCACATTTAACATGTCAAGAAAGTGTTATATTAAAGGACTAGGTGACTTACAACTACAACTAATACAAAAAGCTATCACTCCATGTTGTCAGTCATCATAAGTATTAAATAGATACTTAAAAGTAGAATTCTCTGAGGGCAAAAACATCCCGTCACTGTTGTGAAGTGTCCTAAAAATTTAAATCTTACCTTCCAAGTCCCTTGAATGCAAGTTATGTCAGATAAGGAATGTAACCCTAGGCTAAACCTAACCAACATTTTTACACCAAGAACTTTAAACATGTGTTGGATATAGGTTCATAATTAGAAAAGCCCCAGGGCCAAGAGTAGAATTAATAAATTATGGATCAATTATGGCAAAGTTAAAAGTCTGCAGTGCATAGCCTGTCAGAAAAGATACATAAGCATATGTACATGCTTTCTTTTATGTGACGGGATGATGACATACAAATGCCTCTGCATACATATGGACAGCAAAAATGACAGATGGAGGGATCAGAACAACAAATATACATATGCACATATACATACACATTTACAATGAAAGTGAGAGGACAAGGACAAACATTCACGGAGAGATGGCGATGACATGAATGCATGCAAACATAAATAGGGGATGATGACACATACAGGCGACACACAAACATGACACCGATTACATACATGCATACATGTGCAAGAGGAGGAAGGCTTGATGCAGAACAGGAAACAAAATATGTGACCTGCAAAGTCTCGGGCTCAGCGTGCTCCCGCAACACAGTTCAGAGTCACACGGTTTTAAGGTAAAAACGTCTCTACTTTTGCTTCAGCAAAATATCAGTTAAATTTTAAACAAACCAAATCGGGAGGCCAGTAAAAAGTCTCAGCTCTATATTACTGGTTTTATTCTTCAGTTATGGTACTTTTCTACACAGGTCCTTCCATTTAATTTAAACCACCTGCCTTGTATTGTATCCCTTCTCGTTATCACTCAGGTTGGGAGTGACTTGAATGTCATCAATTCTGATTCTGATACTTGTAATTCTAGTGCATAATATAATCATACAGGCAGGCCTAAGCTGATCAGATACACAGAACATGACAAAGATGTTACCTTTAATTGA